TTCTTTTGGTCTCTGTCCTTCCTAAAGATTTCAGTCTATGTTTCTTGGAAGCCCGTTGTATCTAAGAATGAGGCTTCCCAAAAGGGATGTTGAAATTCTGTGGTAATTGATGGAGCTTATAAATCATGTTGTTGTTGTTCAGTTGCTAAGTCATGTCTTATTCTTTCCTGACTCCATGGACTGTAGTCCGCCAGACTCCTTTGTCCAGGAGATTTCTCAAGTAAGAATACTGGAGCGGGTCGTCATTTCCTTCTCCACGGGATCTTCCCGACCCAGGGATCGAACCCAAGTCTCCTACACTGGCAGGTGGATTCTTTACCACTGAGTCACCAATAAATTTCCGACTCTTTCTAAATTGCATGAAGTCAGAAAGGCATTTAAACTCACTGAGCCTGAGTTTCCTTATCTGTCAAAAGAACTCCATGTCAATAGATATTAAAATCCTATATTCCTTTACCAGTTGAAATATCTAAAATGCTTTTCTGGTGGTAAGCAGCAACTGTTTTATTCATGGGAATTTAGACACTTAAAAAATGTAAGCAATGTTTTAATACAAATTCTGCGTAAAAAAATAGGAGAACTAGTATCAGACAGCCTCCTTCACGTCTACCACTTGCTCGGTATGCAACTGAATAATTTACTAAGCTCCTGTAAGTGTCAGTTTCATTCCCTATAAAATAGGAAAAATAATTGCTGACTCATTGACTTGCTGGGATGCCTAAGGGCAAAAACATGTAAAGAGGCTTGCATAGTGTCTATTACACAGCTTTTTGGTAAGTTGTTGCTCTAATTATCATATTTACTGAAGGAGGGAAGGAGAGACTACTTCCTACAATTTTCTGAAATCTAGTTAATGCTTTGTCACTTGCATGAAGACTTATTCCATAGATATGTAGTAATTGGATATATTTGTCGGATTTGTTCTTTGTTGATCATACATGTAAAGAATAAGTTAAGGTAGAAACCTTTTATATTTATCATTCTGTTTTATTATTATCATGCCTTGGTAAGCAAGGAAAACCATACATCTGTTTTACTTGACCTGTATTTTTTTTGTCTTGATTTGCCTTTTCCATTTTTATATTGCCTTCATGTTTATAGAGGTCAGGTGTGCATTTTTAACCTTCAAAACATGCAACCATTCATTGGAGGCTGGATCCTGAAAATCAGCATTTATTTCATCTCTTCTGTTTCACCCCTCTGTCCTTGTACCTTTCTTAGATTTGCCAAACGAGACAGATTTAGATCCCTTTGGAAATGGCATTCCATTCCTTTTGAGGGAGTAGGGGGTTGGGGCAGTGGTGGCGATAGGAATAGTTGGTATTAAAAGCTCAAGTATGTCTTTTGAAATGTCATTTTCACTCAATTGATTCCTAGTTTTTGCTGAAATCTCTGGTGGGGGACTTAAGGGTGTGACTTCAAGGTAACTTTGATTTGCAATCAGTTAAACATTTTGAGTTGCAAAAGAAACATATTGGGAAAGGTAAATTCAGTAACAAGACATGTGTTAGAATAACACGGCTTTGAAGATCAAGTGGCCTGTTATCTCCATTTTCATCTGTTTAATGTGCCTAGTCAGTTCCATGGGTGATTCACAACCACGGGATGGGAATGCTAGGAAATGATTTGCAGATTTTTGGTGCTCTTGTGCCATCTACTGGAATACTTCTGAACAGTCCTTTGTCTAAACGGTGAAAACTGGTTCTTACCATTTTTTTTTTTTTTAAGGGTAGGAATTATTATTCACAGAAGAGAAAAAGTCAAATTATAATATACAGAAACTTGATATCTAATGGTGCTCTATTTTATTATATTTATTGAAGATGATGTGTGTGTGGTACCCAAGAAACCATTCAATGCAAAAAAAAAAATTAAAATTGAAAAATCTTGATACCTTTTCTTGACTGTCGCATCCTAGGCATGTACCCTCATAATTCCTATGGCTATTTCACACATTTCTCTTCACCCATTTTCAAAACCTTCCCCGTATTGTTCATATAAGTTTGACACCTATTGTAATGCTATTTGTATTAGTACAACCTCCTAATATTAAATAGCTTTCTAGAGAGCTCAGTGGTAAAGAATCTCCTGCCAATGCAGAAGATGCAAGAGATGCAGCATCTATCCCTGGGTGGGGAAGATCCCCCCAGAGGAGGAAATGGCAACTCTCTCCAGTATTACTGCCTGGAGAATCCCATGGACAGTGGAGCCTGGTGGGCTACAGTCCATGAGGCCACAAAGAGTTGGACGCAACTGAATGACTGGGCACATATATACATTATTAAATAGGTACCTGTCATACATAAGTTATTAAGTGCCTTAGGCAGATATTTTATTTGCTTTTCCAGGTCTGTTTGATTCCAGTAACAGTAGGTGGTTGCTTCCTAGTCATACATGAACTTGGGTATAAAGAGAGCTGCCTGCCTATATCACACAACACAGGCAGCCACACTAGCTTCGTTGGCCGATCAGACCCTCAGTGACCAAACGCGTTGACCAGATGGCTAAATGGTGACATAGTTAAATATCTCACACAACCCTTCTCGTCAGGTCTTCTTGTTTAGTGAAAAGGATTCAGCAGAGTCCCTTTGGCCTGTGATTTTGCTAACGTTCTGATGCATGAAATGCAACAGACACTTGCAATCACTGCTTATGTAATTTTGGAAGAATTGCCAATTATGATGGGACGTCAACAAACTATACAGACATTTGGTAGTTTAGTCTGCTCTCAATATTGACATAATTTCAACCTTCCTCTACTTTATCATGGTTTTTGTTTGTTGGGTTTTTTTTTTTTTTTGGCTACACCTCGGGGCTTACAGGATCTTAGTTCCCCCACACCAGGGGCTGGGCCCTCGGCAGTGAAACTGTGGAGTCGTAACCGCTGGACCACCAGGGGATTCCCATCCTCTCTTCATCTCACGTGGGGAGATTACCTCCACAGAAGCATCTGCTGTGTACATTTATGAAACAGTCATCAGAGGACTTTCGAGCATGGATATGTCCTTTAGAGGGGCTTCCCTGGTGGCTCCGTGGTAAAAAATCCACGTGCAATGCAGGAGACCTGGGTTTGATCCTTGTGTCTGGAAGATTCCCTGGAGGAGGAAATGGCAACCCACTCCAATATTCTTGCCTGGAGAATCACATGGACAGAGGAGCCTGGGGGATTCCTGTCCATGTGGTCACAGATAGTCAAACACAACTGAGTGACTAACACACTTTACATACACACATGTCCTTTACACATTCCTTAGATTTTGACTAGTCTACTTCATGTAGATTGTCTTTATATGTGTTCCTACTTTGCAAATTGTAGCTAAATTCTAAAAACTAATGGAAACATTTTTAAAAATTTATGTAGTTTAGCAGATATGGCTTATGGAAATGAAAGTGTCTTTTCCAGTTACATTGCCACAGTGCCTGAATATTTTCTTAGATATTTCTATATAATGAATATTATATATATGAAAATGAAAAGTGTTTGTTTCTCAATTGTGTTGGACTTTTTGCGACTCCACAGACTATAACCCACCAGGCTCCTCTGTCCATGGGATTTTTCAGACAAGAATACTGGAGTGGGTTGCCATTGCCTCCTTCAGGGATCTTCCCAATCCAGGGATTGAACCTGGGTCTCCTGCATTGCAGGCAGATTCTTTACCATCTGAGTCACCAGGGAAGCTCATATTATATAAATAATGTATAGTATATTTGTGTGTGTGTATCTATCTATAAAATCAGTTCTGTTTAGTCGCTCAGTCGTGCCCTACTCTTTGCAATCCCATGGACTGCAGCACACCAGGCTTCCCTGTCTATCACCATCAACCGGAGCGTGCTCAAACTCATGTCCATTGAGTCGGTGATGCCATCCAACCATCTCATCCTCTGTCGTCCCCTTCTCCTCCTGCCCTCAATCTTTCCCAGCATCAGGGTCTTTTCCAATGAGTCAGTTCTTCACATTAGGTGGCCAAACTATTGGAACTTCAGCATCCGTCCTTCCAAGGAATATTCAGGACTGATTTCCTTTAGGATGGACTGGTTTGATCATCTAATACAAGAATGTTTTATTTTGAAGAGCAAACCAGGGAACGTAATTAAAGGACCCTCCTCGCTGATATACCTCTGATGGTGTTTCTGAGAGGAGAGGGTTTTTTCAGATCTGTTTGTTCTCAGAAAATAAAATCTCAAAGCAGGAAGTAGTTTAAATACTGGCCCATCCATTATGCTACCCTCTCACAAGGTCAGCTGCCTGTCTTTTGGGGGAGAACCGACAGGATCTTTTTATTCAGTAGTTGTTTACTGAGATGGTGGATGGATACACGCCTTGCTCCATGGGCTGGAATCCAGTTCTCATCACGCCAGTTCGGTAGCTGACCACAGTCCCTGAGCTCACGGACTAAATGTACCAAGAAACGCCCTCCAGCACCTCCTCCACCGGCCAGACACCGACCCTGGGAGTCTGCATTAGGTGACCCTCATATTCTTCTCTGTGTCACATTTCCTCTTGTCTGGCTTTTCTTTTCCTTTTTTCTTTCTTTTCTTTTTTGTCTACATCTCACATTGGACTAAGTTCATCGAGGGCAGAGAATTTCTTTATCTTGATCATATTTTACCCTAGAATGCGGCATAATGTAAAAAACATAGTAAGCAATCAATACTTATCGTCTCAGTAAAGGAATTCGTTTGGGAAAAACTTTCCAGAAGTCCTTTAAAATTTTTTTTGCAGACTTGAAATTAATTCCAGCAGTTCTCCTTTAGTCTATTATTTTTCTTTTACCTGAGAATTCAAAAACTAATATTAATAGTGTAATTTTGACATACTTGGGCTTTATAAACATGACATTAAGAGAATAGCTATGGTTTCACTGGGAGAAAGGTACTGAAAATTGTGACTGTGTGAATGTGAATTAACATAGAGATGTTATATATGCATACATGTATATTTACATATGTATGTGTGAAATTTGAAACTTTCTAAGAGATGTTTGTTTTCCTTTTTTCAGGAAACTCTACCCCTCCTAACACTCCAGGTATTTACATTTTATTTATTTTTCTTTTTGTTGCTACCTTTGTATATTTAATGTTGATAAAATTTTCTATGATATTCTAGTGAAATCGTTTTGTACAGACAAGCCTTATAATCATGAATGGCCCTTGACATTCTCTTGTCCTTAATATCCCTACTTGTAAGATATAAAGTTTGATAACTACCTGAACATATTATTTGTAGATGAATTATTGTGTATAAATTATAGCTTTTGTTACACCTGACAGTAAACCATGTGGCAAGTTTTCAATCTCTTTTTAAATTTTATCACTGTAAAGAAATCAATTTATTTTGGTCAGATTGCAGAGCTTCATAGTTAGGGAACTACATGATAAATTAGAATTCTAAACATAATTATATATATATGTATATATATATATATATATACATATATATATACATAAATTCTTGCAACAGAAAAGTTTTGACAGTACTTAGATATTTTAAATAATCATTACCAAATTCTATTGTCACACTCAAATTGTTTTAACAAGTGTCCTAATCCTGAGGTAAATTAAATTTAAGCAATGAAGATGCTGACAATTCATATATTTCACATATCAAAGGAGAAAGAAAAAATAGGTTACATCTGGTTAAAAATAAATTACAGTGCTTAAATGTTATTGTTATTGAAAATATGTTATAGGTACCCTGATTAATCATATGGTTGACATTATGCTTTAACAAGATAGGTAATGCCCCTAAGACAACCCTGGTTTAACAATTATAGAGCACAGCTCTAATGAGGCACATTTGAAATCTCCTCAGAATTGTTTGTTATTTTTTAAAAAAGAATTTTAATTTGGAGGATAATTACTTTACAATATTGTGATGATTTTTGCCATCCATCAACATGAATTGGCCCTAGATATACATGTGTCCGTTCCCTAAAGAAACTACTTTAGCCCACAGCAGAGAGGTCTTATAAATATATGAAAGTCATTGAAGCATAGCAGATTGTGATCAGTTTATTCCACCTACTGACATACCCACCTTTTACAGAAGAGTAACTTGGTCTCAACCACAGAAACTGGTTACTTTTGCTGGAGGGGACGGGAAGGGGGTGGAAAGGAGAGGGAACATTTAAAACAGTAGGTGACCCTCACCTTATTGAGAGAGTTTCCACGCTCTCTGCATGGACCCATCACAAGCCTCCACACGGTGAAACGGGGTAAGTGAAAATAGAGGCCCCCCGAGGCAAGCCAGAACATTCTCTCCCAAGTACGAGAACACGATCGGTGGGGACCAGTCTCTTCCTCAAAGCAGAAGGGCTCATTGGAACCTTGCCGACACCAATGTTAGTTTAACCTAAAAACAAGACACAGATAACTGGCCGAGTCTATAGTGATGGATGTGGATTACTGCTATTGGGCAGAATCTTAAGCTCCTCCCTGCCTTCCGTCTTCTCTGCCTTCCTGCCCCCCGAACCCCCATCCTCCTCCAGTCTCCCCCCAGCCCCACTCCCCTCCCGTCACTCGACATTTGGCAATGAGAGACCCCAAAATTTAGGTTTAGCACTTGATGTCGAAGACGGGAAGGTGCCACTTGCTTATTACTCGGTGGGATGTGTTGGCGTGTCATTGTGGATGAAAGTTTGTTAATTAAAATACTTACTTGTGACTTACCGGGTCATGAAATTTTAGGGCTTGGAGTCTTTCTTTGGCAAACAACACATGTAGCAGCTGACTCTCTTTCTGTAATCACAGACTAGTTCTGTGATCTTTCGTGCGCTCTGGCCTCAGGCCAATTCCATGTGACTCAGGCAGATTTCATGGATATTTAGTGAAAAAATGGATTTCACATCACCTTCAACATCGGTGAATGAAGCTGTGAATTCCTCCCATCGTTGCTGTTGCTGTTTCTGTTTTCTTAACCCTCTGCTCGGGGATCTTCCGTTTCTGTTCTTAGTTCTGTCCTGCTGGTGTCTGCCCCCCGCCCCCACCCTGCCCCACCTCTCTCCTATTTCCTGTATTTTTCTGCTATTCTCACTTGTCTGATCCTGTTGAACTAAACGAATCGAAATGCTTGTGTGATAGAACTCAACTTTTCATGAATTAGATATTGCATACCATGAAATTTGCTATTCATAGAAGTAAACACAGGTTAAACAGAAAATTCAGAAAAAAGTGGATCTCTATAATCCCAACAGTCAGAGATCACAGTGTTGTTTTATTTATTTCTTTTTTTAAACAACGGGCACACGTGCCCTTCCTCTGAGAGGAAGAAACCTGCTTGCCGAGGAAGCGTGCACACGTGCAGCGGCCTTTGGCACACAGCGCTTGCTCGCCCTGCCCGCAGCCCCTTACACTGCGCGCTCGTCTCAGCGGTGCACCATTACACTCCACCGCCCCCTTGCCACATTTTTTCTTTTTTCTGAAGTGAACTTTTTCTTTTTTCTTTTTCCCCCAGTCAAACTGGGGGACATGTAACATCATCATCTCAGATTGTTGTTTCATTTGTTAGCATGAAAAAAAATTTTTTGTAGACTTAGGTCATTCGTATATTTGTTTTCCAGTCTTTTACTCACTCTTTGCTTTGTTTGAATTTCTTTTTTCCATTTTTATTATTATTCTTTTTAAACGTTTTGTTTTGTATTGGAGTATGACTGGTTAGAAATGCTGTGAGAGTTTTCAGGGGGACTGGAAAGGACTCAGCCATACATACTCATGTATTCAGTCTCCCCCAAATTCTTCCCATCCAGCCTGCCATGTGACATTGTGCTTTGCTTGAATCTGATTGATTAAAAAAATCAGTGTATGCATCTCGAACGTTTCTCTTTCATTTTTTCATCTCCTGGTACCCTAACCCTCCTAATAAAACCCTTCCGACTTTATCTTTATCCTTTTCCTTGATTAATTTTCTATAGTTTCTTTTAATCACCTTCACATTTTGTGCTTCATCCTTCTGAGCCTCAGTGCCTCAGACAGGTGAGAAGCCACAGTGAAGTAAGAGGCGGGGAGGGAATTACTGCTTTTGATTCCACTCCCCTGTTTTATGTAGCTTGCTTTACATACGTCGGCTTGTTCTATCTATACCTCTGCATGCATCTTTATTTGTATATATGTGTGTGCACATATGTATGCACATACACACGCCCCATATACACATATATGCCATGGCTCCTGGCAGTATGGTGTGTGTATGTGTTTACGTATATGCGTGTATGTTTAGGTACCCACAGTAATGGGCGGGGGAGTTGGCAGGCTCAGATGCTATGATTTGGGGTATGACTCACGTGTTTCTTTTCTCCTTCCTGCATCTCCTGTGACTGTGATGGAACACAACCGAAGAGCCCTCTGCTCCGCCTCCAAGCGGCCCCTTGCCTGCTCCCACCACTGCACTCTCACCCGCAAACATCTCTGAACGAGGAAATGACTCCTCGGGGACCTCGCCTCCCGCGAGTCCAGACAGTCTCACCACGAAAGCACCCCTGACCTCTTGGGAAAATGATAGTTCTGCTGTGACAGGTTGGCAGAGGTCTTACCTGACACGGGGTTAGAGAAACTCGTCTCTCTTTTTCATTTTAAACTTATCAGAACAGTTTGCTTTTAAATTCTGTGTTCCATGTCTGTGTATGTGATTCTGCTGAAGTGTGTCAAGTGTAGAACATCTAGGTTTAGTGGCATGTTGGCGGACTGAAGCGTGAAGGCTGTTGTTGGGGGGCAGGGGGGCAGGGAAGCCCCCCTAGGGAATATCGGGGTGCTCATGGACGTGGGAGCGGGTCCTGAGTGTCCTCTGGCTCACATACAGCCTCATTTTCCTGGATCCTACTCACTTAGACTTTCTGTAGCCCTCCAAGAGTCAGAACGTCCCCTTCAGGTCTTTGTCAGTCTTATACTTCTTGGCTTTTACCCCAAAGTAGAGCTTTCCTTGGTTCAATCCCAGGTTCTCACTATCAGAAAATCACTGGAGACCTTTAATTTTTTTTTTTTTTAAATCACACTGAGGGTTAATAATACAGCTTTGTTCTTGGATTTCTTTCAGGGATTCTTGCATTTTTCTTTTTAAATTATTTAATTAGGGTCGTGAGTCCCAACAGTAGAATTTAAGATAACTCGACCATGTTGGTAGCAAAGTGACAGAATGCGTGGGAGGTGTTTCTGCTGAGAAAAATCTCTGAGGCTCCTAGAATCCAGGGACACCAATGAGCCGCTGGTTCTCTGTTTAATGTTAGGTTTGCAAGTGTATCTGCCATGTAAACTGGCTATCCTGAGGATTGTTCCTGCCTTTTGCCTTAATAATGTGCTGGGTGCCACTTTCTGAGGCAACTGTTTAACAGACCTGCTCTGATTAAAGAGACGAAGAAATTTATTTGTTCAGTTAGCTCATCAACCTTAGCTTGAAACAGAAGCATGTGTAGCACCATCACAGACTTGTGGTCCACGGTACACACAGAGTTTTGAGTACCATCCCAGTGAAGTTTATTAGTTGTGGTAAGCAGTTATATCAATTGCAGTAATTTATATTTAATCTTTATCCCATTTCCCCCTGCAACACAGGGCAGGCATGGTGGCTGGGACCTACCTAAACATGGCAAGAATTCAAATTCCCTTTAACAAAAGGAATGTGAGGATGAGGGAGCTGATGTCTAGTTTCGTGCTTAACTTTTTCAATGACTGAGGAACAGCTCAGTGCACAAAGTTTTCTATTTCAGAGATTCCCTACTTTATCTCTCTCTCTCACACACACAACATTACTACTTTTTATTTCCACAATTTCCCCCAAAACCATTAAAGCCAGAGATTTACATATGAAGCAAAGCTTGATAAAAAAAAAAAAGGCTTAAAAGGAAATGCATTGGACATAAGGATGAATTCTTTAAAAATACAAACTTGCTCTGGCACAATAATACTAAATGGGAAAATTAGCATGGAAATCTTCATATGCTTTCAAACAAAACACATTTTCTTTTCTGAAAAATAATCTTAGTGATTATCAAATTATTATTTTGAACTATTAAAACAGCTCCTTTGGGATAAAAATCATGACAGGCAATCCACGAGCTTTAAACAGCCACCCCGTTTCACTGACTCCAGCAGCCATGGAAACTTTTCCAGGCAAGGATGGGTTGCCATTACCTTCTCCAGGGGATCTTCCCGACCCAGGGATTGAACCCAGGTATCTTGCATCTCCTGCTTTGGCAGGATTCGCTACCACTGAGCCACCTTTTGTTGCTCAGTCGCTAAGCTGTGTTTGACTCTTTGTGACCCCATGGAGCCACCTGGAAAGCCCTAAAAAGATCTGGAGATTTAGCAAATCCACAGATTCAAAAGTTGTGGATGGAAGGACTTTTTCTGAGACGCTTCCCATCCACGAATGAGGGCAGGGGTGATTGTCACAGACACAGACTCAGACCCGTCTGTTTTGTCCTATCAGGGACTTCTGTCCCACTGGCTAGGTCCACTAATGAAAAATCTATCAGGATCAATTAACCTCATTAAAATTGTGATTGCCACTCCTATGCCATCTCTGAGGTCACTCCACTGGGAAGAGTAGGGTCCCTTGAAGAGGGAAGGTCATGAATGTCCAGACCGGGAAGAGTGAGTGCTCTCAGGACGCCCTGAGGACTAGGGACCCTCGGGAGGGATGCAGAGAATAAGCTAGTGAGTGGAGGAGTAGAAAACGGTGTGCGGGAAGCCTGAAGTCAAGCCTGACTGATTTCAGAAGGGCCAGTTCTGTGCCAGCCAGTTTTTTGAAGGCTTAAAAAAAAAGTTTCTACTCTTCTCCTGGTTCTGTGGGAAGCTGCTTCTGAGGATCCGGAACTAAAGAACGGATGCTCAAGTTCTCCATTCTGTAGCGGCTTTAGTTAAATCTGGGGGTTAAGTGGCTTCTGGAGACTGAGCAGAGAACTCAGACTCAGCGCATCATCTGGGAAAGATGCGCGTTCAGTTCTGGCGGGCATGGATGTGCGCGATGGGAGGGAGCCTGCGTGCTCACGTCAGAGCCATCGGGGGACGTGCACATGCGTGTCACCGACACGCCCAGCATCTAACTGCAGAAGCGCGGCCAGCCTCATACCCTTGAGCCAGTGAACCCAGGGGTCAGGACGGTGAAGCGACCACACAAGCTCAGCCAGGAGCTAGCCCGTATTTTGTTTCTGCCAGGACAACGGGGCATCTAGTCGGCACCGGGTGAATACACGTTGCTCCCCTGTGCTGTGATTCTGGGTGAACTGTGTGTGCATGAGTGTGTCTGGGGATGGGGGATGTGTTACATGCGGTGGGTGCTTTGAACCTTGACAATGAGACGTCTTAAGGAAATACACGGTGGGCTTTCATCAGCGACCATCCCTGATCCTACACCCATGAGCTCATCTGTGATTGGAAATCAAGGGGGCTGCTGTCGGCGCAGCGTGACGTTCTTGGGCTCTGAATCAGTCCACTCTCCCTGGCAAGGGCAGCCGCCGTCCTGAAGGGAACATCGTGACCTTCAGCTGGAAAAAAACATACCCAGTTCCGCAAAGGTGCAGGCGAGATCCCCTGCAGCTCTGTTTTCAGAAAATCAGGAGGGAGCACCCACGCCGCGGGCTTCCTCCGCCCTGAGGGTCGGGGCGGGGCTGGGCGGCACGTCCTCCGTGGGGACCTCACCGCAGCCTTCTACCTCAGAGCTCACTTCCACCTCTGCGGCCCCTGCCCCGCCTGCAGCACCCACTCTGTGCATTTCCAGTGTCACCCACCCGCGCCAGGAAGCGAGGCCTCCCTGGGTGGGAGGGCGGGCCCAGACTTTCTCTCCAGGTCCCAGATACTTCATTTATTCCTGCTGCCGAGTCTTGGCTGCTGCGCGCCGGCTTTGTCCAGCTGTGGAGAGCCCAGGGCTCCTCTCTAGATGGGGACTTCTCCTTGCCGTGGCTTCTCTCGTTGCAAGGTCTCTAGGGCGCGGGGGCTTCCGTAGTTGCAACTCCGGGCGCTAGAGCGCAGGCTCAGTAGTTGCGGGGCTTGGGCTTGGTTGCTCCTTGGCGTGTGGGGTGTTCGCAGAGCAGGGATGGAACTCAGTGGCTCCTGCAGTGGAAGGAGGATTCACTACCACTGAGCCCCAGAGTAGGCCCCCCGGTAATTTTACAAGGTGCGTTGTGATGCCAAGGCCCTTCAAGTCCTCTCTCCCACGTGCCATGCTGGTTTTCATCTGGGTTTGCAGACGGGCAGGTGGTGATGCTGCAGGAGTGCTTGCGTGTTTGCTGCCCGGCCTTAGCTTGATCAGTAGGCAATGCCTCCGTGGGCCGCGTGGCCCTGGGCCTGCCGGGCAGGAATGCTGATGGCCTTTGTGATTGCAGGTGCCCCAGGAGAAGGGACCACGACCACCTTGCCTGCAGGCCCCGCTGCCCCACCAGCCACCTCCCGCAGCCCTGCAGTCAGTGGCGCTGCTGCCTCACCTCCACCCACCTCCAACCCGACCACCCAGGGTAACGCCTCACCTCCACTCACCTCCAACCCAACCACCCAGGATAACGCCTCACCTCCACTCACCTCCAACTCGACCACCCAGGATAACGCCTCACCTCCACTCACCTCCAACTCGACCACCCGAGATAAAGCCTCACCTCCACTCACCTCCAACCCGACCACCCAGGATAACACCTCAGGTTTGACTGTGATGCCTTAGGCATGTTAGATGCTGGATGGTGAAATGGAAACTTGAGACCTGATTCAGGCAGCTCTTTTATTTCACACCCAACAGGGCTCGTGGGTTTCCTGTTTCACAAATTTTCGCACATTGATTCTAAATTAGGCAACAAAACCTTACCAGTAAGCTTCCTCTGGGCATGTTTTATTTTATTATTTATTTTATAAAAGTTCATGGCAAAGAAGAAAGATAACAAGCTTTCAGTCCCATAGCCCTGAGATCAAATCCAGCCTCTTCAACTTTCTAGTTGACTTCAGGAAAGTTGCTCCCACTTTCTGTGTGTCTGTTTTCCACTTCTTGTTAAAAGGGGTGTAATAATGCTCACTTCAGAGGATTGATATGAGGGTGGGATATGTAAAAAGCCTGGTATGCGATGAATAGTACAAAAGGGTAACCGGGATCCTCGTTAGTGTAATAATTAGAATAAAAAGAGTTGTAACAGAACAAGGAGCAATTGGAGGGAGACTGCACACGTTGGAATTATACCAAGGAAGCGTTTCTTCTCAGCATATACAGTGTCTGATTCCAGTGGTATGAACTCTTAGTTATCTTAATGGGCCACGTGTAGATAAATATTTGACTCATTTTCTTATTTTAGAAACAAGCCAGTGTCCATTCAAATGAGGAAGAAGCCTCTAGCAAAGATTCCTTTAAGAAATGATCTTTGCTGAGGCATTTTTCCCTCACCCTTCGATAGGACAAGCTCATTAACTGTGACCCTCTGTTCATTTCCTTGCAGATGAGCAGACCACGACCCCTGCACTGACCACTGCATCCAACGTTAGCACTGCAACTGCTCCCTCAACCATAGGTGACAACCTGACCCCCAGTCATGCAGTCACCCCACCACCATGCACTTGGGACACGCTCACTGAAGCCACTGCGTTGGCCCTATCGACCCCGGGCTCTTTCTTCAAGATGTTCCCTTGAGTGTTCTAATCCCGGGGCGGTGGAGGGACAGTTAGTCCAAAGCACTGATCGGGTCTGCAGTGCGAGAGCCACGGAGATCCGGGCCGGTGTCACTGTGATAACCTATTGCCTCCCGGTGGTAGCATTCTCCTCGGGTGTGAACTTGATGAAAATGTGTAGAGATGACCAGCTATACCAGGACCTTTAAGAGTGGGTTTCGGTATTGGTGGTCTTCCCTGACGACTCAGAGGGTAAAGCGTCTGCCTGCAATGCAGGAGACCTGGGTTCGATCCCTGGGTCAGGAAGATCCCCTGGAGAAGGAAATGGCAATCCACTCCGGTAGTCTTGCCTGGGAAATCCCATGGACAGAGGACCCTGGTAAGCTACAGTCCATGGGGTCACAAAGAGTCAGACACGACTGAACGACTTCACTTCCCTTTGGGTATTGTTATGAAACAGAACAGTTCTCTCAGTGGGAGGCTCTGTGTCAGGAAGTCAGCGGCAGGGGAGCCTCAACATTCGGGGCGGGGGGTATGGAGACAGAGGTGAGGGGGCCTCGATCCGGGAGTGAATGCCCAGGAGTTGGCGGCGTCTGCGATGGGTCAGCCAATCAGAGCCTGCAGGGGCACTGTTCCCGCCTCAGTTTCTCCATCTCGAAGACTAGACTAGCTGGGATCTCGTAGCTTCCACAAGTCACATTTCTGTCCTGTTCGTCAGTTAAATATATACGCTCACACAAGACTTGTCTCAGCGGATGGACAGATTTTTTACCAGTCTAGTATATGGGCAAAGAGCTTACAGAAGTGAAACGGGAGCGTGAAGCAGCCCTTACCTATTTTCCGATATTCTTTGCAAACCAAGTGAAGTCGCTCAGCCGTGCCCAGCTCTTTGCGATCCCATGGGCTATAGCCCACCAGGCTCCTCCATCCATGGAATTTTCCAGGCCAGAGTGCTGGAGTAGGTTGCCATTTCGTCTCCTGGAGATCGTTCTGACCCAGTGATCGAACCTGGGTCTCCTGCATTGCAGGCAGACGCTTTACCCTCTGAGCCACCAAGGAAGACATTCTTTGCAAACAGAGATGCAAACTGAACTTTCTAGGGGTTATAATTATATAAGCCTCTTTTGAGATTAATCAAGGGGATAAAGACTTTAAAAATGCCTCTGGCTGCTTGAATAGTCAGCCACATCACCATTCCATAATCAGATGTGTGTCAAAAAGTCTTAATATTGTATTATCACAATTGGGGTTATTAGGTAAATTCATGAAAATGTTTTATGGGGCTAGCTCTTTGGTTTACAACCTTTGAAGTTTTGCGATCCAAACATGGGACTAGGCACCACAGACTCTGGCTTATCTGTTAAACCTAATTTGGTAGATTCTACAGTTTATGAAGATGAGACTTTGTAAACCACCCTTCCCCAAAATGACTAAGGGCAGAGATATCCTAAAAGCTGATTTTAATCACCTGCATTCTCTTTTTTTCTTTCAGCTCCTACTAATGCATCTAAGCCATCATGTGGTAAGTTTGTCTACCTAGAGGCAACATATATCACTTTAATGATTTCATTCTTTATTTCAAGTTTCCAAGACCCTTGCTCCCCCGCCCCAGCAAAATAAACTCAGTGGCTCTAATTTCTAACCAATGATTAGCTCCAGCTCTTAAGAGCCAGAGTCCTACAGGGTGAGAAGCTTTGATGTCATGTTCAGACCTGGATTTGAGGACCAGGATCAATCATTACTAGCTAAACAGCTCTGGTGGAGCCACTTACCCTTACTTTGGGTGTTTAAAGTGGGGTGATAACAAGCTGGTTTGGGGTTGGGGGGAGGATTCCGTGTAATAATAAATGTGGAATGTGAGTTGCACCTTCAAGGCTGATCAAGAAGGAAGTCTTTTCTGTCTCTCTATCTCGCTGGGGTTCCCCTCAGAGCAGATGCTTGTAAACAATTTGTATCTGTCCTTCTCCCGTCTCCTTCCTCCATTCTCAGTGAAAGCAGAGTCCTTCTTCACAACCAGGGCTCCACACGCCACATGTTTCTAAATGTCACCGCTGGAGTCCCTGCTTTCAGTAGCTCTTCATATATTCCGTGCGAACACCGGCCTTCATATGTTTGCTTAATAATATGATCCTTCACAATCAGATTCCTCTTGCATTATTACTTTTTTACTCTTTTCACTTAAGTAACATGGAAATACGCATTGTTGTATTTCTTAACCTTTTATTTTGTTTTAGACTACAGCTGATTGTGGTAGATTCAGGTGGATGGCAAAGGGACTCACCCATCCCTATACATGTATCCATTCTCCCCCAAACTCTCCCCCATCCCGGCTGCCACATAACATTGAGCAGCGTTCCCTGCGCTGCTGTAGGTCAGGTGTGTCGCTCTTTTTTGCATAATTCAACCACTTTTGAGACCCTACTAATGACAGGTTTTACACAAGGATCTGAATTTATGGTGATGATCAAAATAGATTTTGCTCTTATGGAATTTACAGTCCAGTTGGGAAGACGCATGAATCTAGTCATCATCCAAATACAGACTCATGAGCTGGGGTCTTTGATGGTACAGTGATGTAAAGACAATCACGAAGGAATAACATGGAGGCGCTGATGTGTTCCTTCTGCATTTTATGTTCCTGGGGATATTTTTGTTGATGTTTGGATATTTTTAAAAATATGTGTTAAGTGGTTGGTGTTTAATGTAGGTTTGTTTGTTCAGAAAAATCAAAAATAATCCCAGCTGTCTTATTTTCTTTCAGAGGACAAATACAGAGGTGTGTCTGTGAGCTACGTTTTTAACAAGGACAATAACACATTTACTGCAACACTGGATGTTAAGGAAGAATGTAAACCTCCTGAATGTAAAAAGGAGTACAGTGGCCTGCATGCCTGTGAAAATAAGAACATCAGCATGTCACACTCTTCATGCGAGCCTCCATTTCAATATCTCTTAGAGGTACCACCAGGTAAACGCCAGTTGCTTTCTATTTGTGTGTTGACAACAACAGTGCGGTTTTGTGTGTGGCACGTCGGGAGGGGCGGTGCGGGGTGGGGGGGAGGGCGTGCTGCTCTCCTGACCCAGTGAAAGTGGTGACCTCGGAGGAGGAACCTTCTGTCTTCATCCCTTACTCACCTCCCTGCACCTCTTTTACCACTCGGTTTGTGTCGACCAGATATAATCTACTCCTCTGAGCGATTATTCACGAGCTTCTTTTCTCTCCTCTACTGAATTCAAGTCATTATATATATATATATATATATATATACACACACACACACACATATATATTTATACATTGTGAATATGCTATACATTGTATGTACACATTATATGTATATACATATGTGCATACATTATATATATACACACATCAGTACACACATGTATATATTAATTGATATTAATAATATTACTAATAAGATTAATATTGATTATATACACAGATAATGTGTGTATTAATGGTTACATATATATATGTATTAATCCTTCTAAATATAAGTATGTCTACAATAAAGGTTTCCCAGGTGGCTCAGTGGTAAAAGAACCTATCTGCTGCTGCAGCAGCCGTGGGTTCAGTCCCTGGGTCAGGAAGATCTCCTGGGGGAGGGCATGGCAACCCACCCCAGTATCCTTGCCTGGAGAATCCCATGGACGTTGGAGCCTGGCGGGCTACTGTCCATGGGGTCGCAAAGAGCTGGACATGACTGAGCGCACATGCGCATGTCTAGAATATCTTGGGGGACAGATACAAAGTCAAAGATTTGATGTCTATGAAAAAAAACACAAAGGTACTTTCGCAAAAAAAAAAAAAAAAAGAGAGAGAGAGTTTTAGTCATGTTAGTGGGATCCAGCTGGTTTTGGTGCCTCAGCGACTGCTGGGAAAGAGAAGGGATGTGTGGACTTCAGGGATGCTACCTTTACTAAATGTGTTTTCAAAACAGGACTTGGGAGCTGTGTAAGTTTGTTAAATCTCTTACATCTTTTATTAATTCAAGATCATTGATTTACTTATTAGCATTTATGCAGGCTTAACATCTGTTTTTGAGAAAGAAAACTTATTTAACCTACTCATTTAAAAAAAAATTACTAAAATAAATGATCAAATAAAAACAGAAAGTGACAATTTAAAAAAAAATGCATTACCCAGAGGGAATCCCACATACTCTGTGTAATGACCATTCAATGAAAATGATCAAAGAGTAAATGAAAAGCTGAAGATATAAGTAAGAAAACAAAATGAAGCAAGTCTTTTAAAATATGCAAAATATTCAATTTTATCTAGATTTTTGCTTGGGTTCTATTTTTCAAAAGGAGCATGAATTCTAAATGAATTAGTATCACATATATTGGTAGTATTTCATTTAGAATTTACGCTCCTTTTGAACCCAAGCAAAAATCTAAAAAAAAGAATAAAGACCTAAGAAATGTAAAACCCTGAGAATTATTCAACTTTTCAAAAGTAATCTAAATTCCTGCCAGATTCTATATCATGAATATAATTTGAATAACAGTAATTGAGCATATGGCACACATTATGAAATATTAATCATCCATTTTTGTATCTTTATTCTCACAGATCCTAATGAGTTTGAGCTGAAAGACTGTGTGCAACCTGAAGAAGCAGCTACTTCCCTTTGTTTACGTTGGCAAAACAAACAATTCAAGTGTGATAAAACTAAAATTGAATACAAATTTAAATGTGGTGAGAACTTAACCTTGATCAGAGGAGGTTTTTTCCCCTACAGGGGGAAGTTTCCCTAAATATTATCTAATGTTCCTCCTCCCTCCTTTCATCCCCTCTCTTTCAATCTCTCTCCCTCTGTCTCTTGCACAGTCCATGATACATGTTTGGAATCAAACACTTGTATTCTTTATACCACTCAAACCCACAAAATAGACAAATACTTCACTGGAAGAATAATTTTTGAAATAGCAGTATCATTTTATTTATAAGAATTTTCTTGGCAACAGTTACACAGGAACATTGCTGAAGAGCTTATCAGAGAAGAGTTTAAAAAGTTAAGATACACAAACTCTTAGCGTGAGTGGGAAAGCAAGCAATTTCATGTGATTCCACGAGTTCCTTTGTCAGCCCTCCATCAGCAACACTCATAAAAAACTGCAAGAAGACTTCTAGAAAGGAAAGTAGAAAAAGAAAAGCCAGTGCTGCCAGGGATATGAGTTGGTGTTCATGGAAGGGGGAATACTTGAGGTAGAACTTCTTTTTAATAATTAATGATTTACCAACTTTTAATTTCTCTTCATTTGAGTTTATTGGGATGAAATCTCCCTGCCTTGGCATAAAGCCACCTGCTAGGCTGTATTTGGCAAGACAGACAGACAGAAATACACACTCTCACAGAGGGTGGAACGTGGGACTAGTCACAGACACCATGTTTCGGGGAAGACGTACGGCTCGGATGTGAGCAGGATGAGGAAAGCAAGAACAAACATGACAGGCTGACAACATGACCATGATCTCAGATACCGACGAGATAAAGGCTGACTCAAATGCAGTCTCAACTCTGAACAGAGAGCAATGAGCTAACGCCTCATCTCTTCAGTTAAGTTAGAGACACTCTCAAGTTCAGTTCTTCTTACCAGTGTTTGCTTTAAAAATGAGTGTAGCAAAATCACACTCTCTGGATCTTTTACTTATTGTGTTGACCATTTGCATAGGTTTTTAATCTAATATATATTAACTATAGATATAAAACCAAAGTGAAATTTAAGTGTGATATATACTTATATGCAATACTTATTTCTTTTAGGTAACCATTCTCAAGTTGGTAAGAATTACACGTTTCAAGTGAGGGAACTTAAACCCAGAACTAGTTATACTTGTAGTTCACAAGTATTCTATAATCAACAGCTTCTTATTAGCCAAAATCAAACCATTGAAACAAATTTTGAAGGTGAGTATATTGCTTACATTTGTATGTTAAATTTCTTTTCTTTTTATAGTCTTATGATTCTTTGAGAATCATAGAAAAAGACAGTATGGATTTGGAGAAAGGGTTTCACAAAAAGGTGTTGTGTGCATTTTAAAGTGAGAATTTAGAAATCAATGACAGAATCCAAACCTCCATGAACTTTTTGCAGACTGTAGGCTGCTGTGAGGCCCAGGTGGAAACAAGACTGAGCTAAGTGAAATGCTTGTTCACACAGTTCCCATGGAGTCTCCTCGTTCCTGTGGCGGCCTCCTCCTCTTGGCACGTCCTGCCTTTTCTGGGCCACTATCAAATCCTGCCTCTCACCTAGACAGTGAATTAAACAGCAGAGACATCACTTTGCTAACAAAGGTCTGTATAGTCAAAGCGATGGTTTTTCCAGTAGTCATGTACAGATGTGAGAGTTGGACCATAAAGAAGACTGAGAACCAAAGAATTGATGCTTTTGAACTCTGGTGGTGGAGAAGACTCTTGAGAGTCCTTGGACTGCAAGGAAATGAAACCAGTCAATTCTAAAGGAAATCAACTCTTGAATATTCATTGGAAGGACTGATGCTGAAGCTGAAGCTCCAATACTTTGGACACCTGATGTGAAGAGCCAACTCATTGGAATAAACCCCGATGCTGGGAAAGACTGAGGGCAGGAGGAGAAGGGGATGACAGAGGATGAGATGGTTGGATGGCATCACTGACTCGAGGGACATGAGTTTGAGCGAGCTCCAGGAGATGGTGAAGGACAGAGAAGCCTGGGCGTGCTGCGGTCCAAAGAGTTGGCCACAACGGAGTGACTGAACAACCAAAAGAGACTCCAGTTGACTTTAGAAATTTACTCAGAAAATATGTTAATTGTGAGACAGTTTATGAACAACCACTAAAAAAATGAAAGACAGATAAATAGATGACATTGTGTATAATCAGTAGAAGAAAGTTATGGAATGAAAGATGCTCTACACGTTAAAGGAGGAAAAGGAGAAAGAAGGAGGAGTGGGAGGAGGATGAGGAGGAGAAGAAGAAAAATGGGGAGGGGGAGTGGAAGGAAGAGGAAAAGCGTGGCAGAGAGGGAGAGAGAAAAGGGTACGTAGTAAACAGTGGGTAAAAGAGCAGAAATGTCAAAGTATATCCAAAGTCGGACTTCCTCATAGCTCAGTTGGTGAAGAATCTGCCTGCAGTGCAGGAGACCTGGGTTCGACTCCTGGGTTGGGAAGATCCCCTGGAGAAGGGAAAGGCAACCCACTCCAGTGTTCTGGGGAAATCCTAGGAAATCCCATGGCCAAAGGTGCCTGGCGGGCTGCAGTCCATGGCGTCGCCAGAGTTAGACACGACTTAGTGAGTAAACAAACCACTGTATCAAAAGTTAGTATAGATAAAATGGTTTAAATTTACCTTTTGAAGCAAAGGCATTCAGACTTGAACAAAGTAAAGACATATTTTAGGGGAATTTGTACCTTAAGTAAGATCAAGTGATAATTTATGGGAACTTTTATTTCTTAGCTCCTATTGACTGAAATCAATGGAAAGTGCTTGGAAAAGAACCAGGAAAAAAAAAAAAAAACAAAGATATTAGAAAGGAGAAAATAACGAAGCCTGGAGCACAGATTGTTGAAAGAAGAAACAAGCAAACATATGAGGAATTTACTAATCAGTTTGAAGGCTTGGTTTTGAAAAGAATAATAAAATAGACCTCTAGCAAAACAACCTTCCCCCATACATTAACAAAAGAACATTAAAAATACAGTAGAAATTTCACAGATTATAAAGAATCTTGTATCCAATATGAAAATTTAGATAAAAATGAATCATTTTCTAGAAAATATATGTTATGAGCGTTTGCCTAGGGGAAGAGTTAGAAAATTAGACTTAAAATTACGTCTAATACCTCTTCACTCACTCACACTCCCTGTCTGTTACCTCACCTGCCCTTTACAAAAGAAAAACCAGAAAGGTAAGCTTACAGTTTCTGTCCTATTCAGACTATCCCATAGTATAGAAAACATGTGAATCTATCAACTCACTTTGATTATTGTTAGGGTTTGGAATAAGCTTAGGGTTACTGTTATGTGGATACCAAGCATGTGCAAAGATGAGGCAACTGTAAGCCAGTCTCTTCTATGAACGTAGGTACTGAATAGTGAATGAATTATTAACAAAGTCAATCCTCTCGTACATTATAAAGCATGTAGTTACAAAAGAAGATATGCAGAAGTGTTATATGCTCAGCTGTGTCCGAGTCTTTACAGCCCCATGGGCTGTAAACTGCCAACTGTCCATGAAATTCTCCAGGCAAGAATACTGGAGTGGGTTGCCATTCCCTTCTCGAGGGGATCTTCCGGACCCAGAGATTGAACCCAGATCTGCTGCGTTGAAGGCAGATTCTTTACTTTCTGAGCCAAATGATCTCTGAAGAAAATGTAATAAGAGCAGGTATCTTTCTTATAATTTCATCTTTGATTCACAGTTAATCAAAATATGACTGCTAACAATGCATGCTAATAATATGAAAAATGGTTTCTTTATGTCTTGTTTTTTCATATTTTATATTCTTATTCTCTCAACAGTACCAGGAGAACCTCAGAATTTTGCTTGTTCTGCTACAAATGCAACTGAAGGAAACATTGCCTGGACACCACCTCAAAATTATTTTGATAGCTTCTCTCTTTGCTATCAGAAAATTTTGATACAAGGTAACTTGTAGAAAATTTAATTCCACATCAGGAAAGATAAATCTAAAATTGGAAAGCACTAGATATATGGATGGAGCGAGTGAGTCACAGAGCTGTCTACACAGCAACCGTGATGGGCATCCTACATGTCTTGATTTTAAGAACTGCCTCCACTCACTATGGACTCCCCAGCCTCTGAGATGACTGAAGCTCAGAACATTCCCAATATTGCTTGTCCTTCTTGGCCTTCTTACTTATAATCTTTTCACTCTAAAGCCTAGAGAAAGAAAATCTCTGCACAGCTGTCTTCCAAATGTTATGTAAGTGAGCCGCACTGGTTTGAACTCATTGTTCTGGACGATAAACAAACCACTTCCATAGCTTGATCCAACTGGCGCACGCACAAAATTGGGTGAATAAAAATGACATATTCCCATTTAATCATGGAGGGCACTTTACCGGCCAGTGGAATCTTGCAACGTGGTTCTAGTTAGCATGAAACTTCTGTAGAAGTAAAGGCAGTCCAAAAAACGTGCTATGACGAATCCAACCACTGGACTCGGCCTTCCTTTGGAGGGACTATTTAAGAGAGCGGACGTCTCCTGGACGATGTGAGGTATCTAAAATGCCTGTAAAACACGGTGGGGACTGTGGACCATCTCAGAAAAGACTCATCCTTGGGATGGCCCGCTTGACAGTCCTTGCCCTATAGTTTAAAGCAGTTTTGAGCTGAACATCTCACAGTTCCGTCTCTTTGTTTGGTGGGTAGGAACCAGACATGAATTTTCAGATTTCAAGAAGCAGAAAACCACTTCTCTTCAATGTGTTATTTTATATTTTGATAACATATGGCTTTTGCTGGTTGAATCAAATAATCAAACTACTAAAGCAAAGTTCCATGCACATGTAGTGTTCCAATTAGCATAAGAGGACTCAAATGCTATGGAGAAGAAATATTTGCCATGTATTTGAGGTTATGGTACTTTGAAAAGTTATGTCTGTGAGAAAAGAAAAGTGGAAATTAAAGGAAGATAAAACAACAAGACAATCGGATAGTCTGCCTCCCTGGCCACCTCTCCTATGAACTCTCTTTGCTGGGTTTCTGTGTGAGCACATTGATTTTCTTTTCTCTTTTCTGAATCTTCTCACTTTCCCTTGCTGTATTCCTCACTGTTTTATATTCTCTCTCCACTATAGAGTTCTTTCAATGCCAGAGTATATGGAGAGAATTTATGGAACAATGTTTATTGCTCCTTTGTATTCTATACAGTTTAAGAAAGCATTTGAATAATAGGCTTAGAAGGATGTAACGCATTGGTTATTGTGGTCAGACCAGTTTTTGTTTATTTTTTGCAACAAGTACAGATCCTTCTTATTCAGTGCTATCCAAATTTATGACTGTCCTGTTACAATACTTGAGCAGAATGGGTGGGGAGGGAAGGGCAGGTATACAACATCGGGCTTGTGTGCCCTCTTCTCAGAAACTGGGCTGGTAACTGGCTGAATCCAGCCTTCACGGTGGCTTACGCAGTGACTCTGCTCGAAGGGTACAGAGCTCACCCGCAGTCCAGTCTCTCGCAGCCTTCGGACTCCGCTGCTTTCCCTCACTGTCTCAATTCCTGTAGTGCTCAGAGGAGGAGGACAAGGAGACGGAGTTATCGGTGATCAAATGGATTCTGCATCTGAAGTCCATAATAGTGGCTTGTACCAAAGTTCAAAGTTTGGAGGTTATCAGGAAAAGCTTCACTAAAGTATTGGAAAAAAGACTTTCATAAGATCCACCACGGGCTGTGCTTTCTTAGAAAGAAAATAGACCATCTTCACTGATATGCTTGGACTCACTTATTAATATGTTATGTACCAAATTAACTATGAAACCATTAGTTTGGAATATTTGAGTTTATTTAGATTAATTACATTCATTCAATATATTTGCTGATAATTGTATGTACTTCTGAGCACAAACAATATTTTTATATTTCAGCCACTCAGTTTGGAGTGGGCTTGGAATGATTTAATGTACAGACCAAGTTGAATATGTGGTAATCCTGATTTTTGATGCCTTAATAAATGTTTCTGTTTTTCCCCGTGAGGTAACAATATTTGCTTCACTCTGAATAAAACCCAGCACAGAATGGATTTGCGCCATTTGACACCTTACACAGAATATGAGGTATTGTTACAGGCCCTCGTCAAAGGAAGAACAGTTCGCAAGAGCAGAAATGTGACCTGTCGATTTAATACAACTGCAACATGTAAGTTATGAACTTTAATGCTTTTTTCTCTGAATGGCGAGAAGCAACATCTAAACTGTGAACAGCAGGTTCACGCTCATTCTTCATTTGGGAAAAGCACATTGACTTTGCCCGTTTGTTAATATCTCGGGTTTATAATAATTTAAAAAACAACAACTTAAAAACTCTCGTTTGAGGCTTTCTCTGTGTCCTTCAGGTATAACCACAGAATTGTAAGAATGAAGCCTGAGAACATATGAGCTGGTACAGTGTGTAAGAGTTCAGGCAATTAAGTACCTAACCAACTTGGATAAAAATGAATTGCCTGTTGTTTTCTTTGTTATGTAGAAATTTCGACTGCTGTCAGATACTCGAGAATCCCACACTCACAAACCATTCACTTGCTGGCTTTTGCTTGCATGACCAAGCACTTCATAAACCGTGATACTTTGTCAGCATTCTCTTCTCATTACAATGAGCTGCCTACTGTTTTAAGTTCATTCTACATTCATTCGACTCTTGCCACCAATGGGAGGCGCCACGGATTCCAGGTGCGAAGCTCCATCCGTCTCTGGGGTGACTGTGAACTCCATGAGGGTCGAAGCAGAAGAAACAGCCCTGTGCAAATCAGCAGTCAGGGCTCCAGAGACCCTCCCTGGGGCAGCTCACAGGGGACAGCTGTTCTACTCGGGGCTGGATATAAAGGCTCCTAATGTCATTTAAGTTCATGCTTCAAAAGTCCAAGTCCTCAAACTTTACGCTTTGGTTATTTTCCTGAATTCCTACGCTATCACAGACACAAAGGTTTGCTGCTGATGAAGAATTCAGCCACGTATCCCCAGGGTCATGTAAGCGCTTCCAAAAGGAGGACCTGAGCCGTCTGTAGGTCTTCGAGGTTTCCCCAGCACCATCTCCTCCCTCCCTGCCCCTTCTCTTCTTTTTCTGTTTTCTACTTCTACACATTCTCTGTGACGAAACTAGGCAGCGTGTTAAAAAGCAGAGACATCACTTTGCCAGCAAAGGTCCAGACGGTCAAAGCTATGATTTTCCAGTCGTCAGGCACAGCTGTGAGGCTTGTAGCACAAAGAGGGCTGAGTGCCGAACGACCGATGCTTTCAGTCTGTGGTGCTGGAGGGTCCCCTGGACTGCACGGAGACCCAACCAGTCCGTCCTAAAGGAGGTCAGTCCTGGGTGTTCACTGGAAGGGCTGATGCTGAAGCTGAAGCTCCGACACTGTGGCCACCTGATTGGAAGAGCCAACTCGCTGGAAAAGGCCCTGATGCTGGGAAACATGGAGAGCAGGGGATGAGATGGTTGGATGGCATCATCGACTCAATGACATGAGTTTGACAAACTCCAGGAGACAGTGAAGGACAGGAAGTCTGGGGTGCTGCAGTCTTTGGGGTTGGACACAACTGAGTGACTGAAGAACAAGTAGAACAGCACATTCTCTTTGGGAGAATCTCAAAAAATCTCATAGTTTCAAGTACAACTTAGGTGCTAATATTCATTGACAGATGTGTAATTTATTTTCAGATGTTTTCTTACAGCTTTTTATGTACATTATCTCCTAATTTCCCCATCCCCAAATAAGCACTTAGAATGGTTTATATTGTTCACATATATTATCCAGTAATTTAAATATGCATTTAACAAATGATTAAAGTAACCACTGTTTTTTTTTTTTTTCTCTATTTCATTTTGATAGATCCAGGCAAGGTAAAAGGTTTAAGGGCTTTACGGAAGACAGAAAATGCTATAGATGTGAGCTGTAAACATCCTGACCAGCTTAATGGCCCTGAAGGGTTCTACTATTTGGAAGTAAGAACTGGAAACACCTTGGTTAATAGTTATTCAAGATCAGAATGCAAATTCTCCGTAGAAGATCTTCAATATTTAACAGAATATAATTTTTCGGTAAGATTACAATTTCTATAATCACCCCAGAACTGATATACATATTATAGTTAATATTCTGCAGTACTCAAATAATACTAGGACTAGTGCTCACACAAGCTTGAGAAGGTCTGATGTCTAAGGGAATCACACTTTATAAGTCTTAAAACTTTGACTCCATACTTTTCATCTGTAGTACTAAATACAGGGATTTATGGCAGATATTTGGTTGGAACATTTTTGACCTTCAGCATGACTACTTGTAGTTAAATTATTGTTTCTATGTCAAGAAACACATGGCACAAATTGTTATTATTTGTTAATGATAATTGTCAGTTATTACTTTATTTTTTGTTCTTCTTGGCTTTTTGTCTTTACTAATGTGATCTTTCTTTAATTACAAATATTTTTTTACAGGTACATTGAGGTTAGAAAATAGAAAAAAATGTAAGGAAGTAGCAATGTACACCAAGAGTTTGAAAACTCACCCATAAACTCACTGTCCACTGATCATATTTCACTTCTAAAATGGGAGGGCTCAGCCTTTTCCTCTCGCTGTAGGAGAAGCCTCAGCTCATTCAGTTCATTCTGTCTCCCGAGTGTTTCTTCCCTGTAAGAAACACAGAGAAGAATTTCCAAAGAAAACTGAAGGCCTGAAACACTTCTGACACTTTGGTCCCCAAATGTGTAGAGGTTTTTCCCCACGTCTAGCAGCTATCTGAGACGGCTGCTGGGTGCCCCATAATTTAATTCCATTTCGACACCATCTATCCAGAGAAAGTGTCGTATTCCACAGGGGAGGGGCTCAGTCCCAGGAGATTGGCCCCACCCCACTTTGGAATGACGACTAAGAGATCCTCATCACTTCTGCTCGATTTGGCTCCACTTCGGGGGCTCCCATCACCCCTTCCTTGAGTCTGATTAATTTACTAAGGCAGCTCACATAATTCAAGCAAATACTTAAAGGCTGTGAGAAAGGATTCAGGTAAATAGCCAGCTGAAGAGATATGTGGGGGAGGTCTGGGAGGGTCCTGAGTGCAGGAGCCTCTGTCCCCGTGGAGTTGGGGATGTGTCACACTCCTGGTGTGAATGTGCTCTGCAGTCTGGAAGCTCTCTGAACCCTGTACTTCTGGGAATTTCTGGAGGCTTCATCACACAGACGTGATCAGTCATCAACTCCATTTTCCACTCTTCTCCCTTCTCATGAGAATGGGGAAGGGCTGAAAATTCCAAGACGGATTATCGCTTGGTCTTTCCAGTCCTCATGTGGGAGCCATCTGCTAACTCACTCAGAGTTACTTCAATAGAAGAAAAGACTATCACTCCCGGTGGCTCAGTGAGAAAGAATCTGCCTGCAATGTGGGAGACCTGGGTTCAATCCCTGGGCCTAGAAGATCCCCTGTAGGAGGAAATGGCAACCCACTCTAGTATTCTTGCCTGGAGAATCCCATGGACAGAGGAGCCTGGCAGGTTATACAGTCCATGGGGTCCCAAAGTGTTGGACATGGCTGAGTGACTGAGCATGCATCAGGAAATTACGAAGGTTTTAGGAGCTCTGTGTCAGGAACTGGATATATTTCTCATTGTCTCACCACTTCCATGATAAAAGCACACAGTTTGATAAACTGCATGATTAAAAAAATCACTGTATCATGAACATTTTTTCCATATTAAATATTCTGCTACTAATTTTTAATGGTTGCACAAGGTTCTGTCTTATGGCTTATTGTCTCTACTAACCATAACTGTTTTGGTCTCTGTTAAGAGCAACAGTAAGTAAACTCTCTTATTGGAAAATAACAGCATCTTTCAATATGTCTTTTATTGTCTCTGTCTGAACAAATTCCCAAAAATGAATGATGGGACCAAGAAGAAGTTGCATATAGTTTAAGGTTTTAAAAAAATTAACTCATTGGAGTATAGTTGGTTTACAACGTTTTGTTGGTTTCTGCTGTACAGTGAAGTGAATCAGTCATGCACAGACATACACCCCCTTTTGGATTCCCTTCCCGCTTAGGTCACTGCAGAGCGCTGAGTAGAGCTCTCTGCGCACAGTAGGTCCTCACTAGCTTATCTGATTGATACTCATGTCAGTAGTATCTCTGTGTCAGTCCTCATCTCCCAAATCGTCTCACATCCTCTTTCCCCGTCAGTAACCATGTGTGTTTGCTACGTCTGTATCTCTACTTCCGCTTTGCCAATAAGTTCCTCTCTACCACTTTTCTAAGTTCAGCATGTGCATGCGATGTTTGTTTTTCTCTCTCTGACTTACTTCACTCTGTATGGCAATCTCGGTCCATCCACGTCGCTGCAAACGGCAGGATTTAGTTCCTTTTTATGGCTGAGTAATGTTCCACTACATACATATCCCACACCTTCTCTGTCCATTCCTCTGTGGGTGGATGCTTAAGTAACTTCCACATCTTGGCTTCTGTAAATAGTGCTGCAGTAAACATTGCAGTTCATGCACCTTTTCAGATCATGTTTTTCTCTGTATTTATGCCTAGGAATAGGATTGCTGTGCCATATGATAGCTCTAATTTTAGCTTTTTAAGGAACCTCCATACTATTCTCCATAGTGGCTGCACCAATTTAAATTCCTACCCACAGTATAGGAGGGTTTGAATGAGTGCACCTTTTAAATTTTCCCAAACTATAAAGCCTCTTGATGGAAGTGAAAGAGGAGAGTGAAAAAGTTGGCTTAAAGCTCAACATTCAGAAAACTAAGATCATGGCATCTGGTCCTATACTTTCATGGCAAATAGATGGGGAAACAGTGGAAACAGTGACAGACTTTATTTTTCTGGGCTCCAAAATCACTGCTGATGGTGACTGCAGCCATGAAATTAAAAGACGCTTACTCCTTGGAAGGAAAGTTATGACCAACCTAGACAGCATATTAAAAAGCAGAGACATTACTTTGCCAGCAAAGGTCCGTCTGGTCAAGGCTATGGTTTTTCCAGTGGTCATGTATGGATATGAGAGTTGGACTGTGAGGAAAGCTGAGCGCCGAAAAATTGATGTTTTTGAACTATGGTGTTGGAGAAGACTCTTGAGAGTCCCTTGGACTACAAGGAGATCCAACCAGTCCGTCCTAAAGGAGACCAGTCCTGGGTATTCATTGGAAGGACTGATGCTGAAGCTGAAACTCCAGTACTTTGGCCACCTCATGTGAAGAGTTGACTCATTGGAAAAGACTCTGAGGCTGGGAGGGATTGGGGGCAGGAGGAGAAGGGGACGACAGAGGATGAGATGGCTGGATGGCATCACCAACTCAATGGGCATGAGTTTGAGTAAACTCCGGGAGTTGGTGATGGACAGGAAGGCCTGGCGTGCTGTGATTCATGGGGTCGCAAAGAGTCGGACACGATTGAGCATCTGAACTGAACTGAACTGAAACAAATACATTACTATTACCTATCATTGTCCATTTCACCTCATCTTCCTCAGCACCCAGGAAGCTCCAGGCACACTGGCTTTCTTTATGTTTCTCAAAGCACTTAGGTTTCACTCTCTTTAGGAACTTAGTACTCTTCTCTCTTTCTGGAGTTTTCTTCTCCCATGTGTCAACTGTGATAACTTATTCTGGAAAAATATAGCTCAACACCATATTAAAGTGCAATTTTAAAATTCAGATTGGAAGACAGTTTAGCTTTCCACTCTCTTCCTCACTCTTCAGAAGTCTTTTGTTTGCTTCTCTGCAGTTCCCATAACTTGCTTTTATGTTTATTTCAGAACCCGCTGCTACATTTATACCTTCATGACGGAGTAACATTTTAGCTTTATACATCATTCTGATCTCTGGTTAATAAATTAATACAATTGTTTTTATAGTTGTTAATGTATTACTTTCCTTTATTGTAGGTTTGTTTTGATGTTCTGCTAATTTGGGAACTGAAAGTGATTTTTGACTATTTCTTTCTCCTTTACTTTTTTATTAACTAAGAAAAACTTTTAAACCTGTCGATTGTCCTTTGCTAAAATTTTCACTCTATCCCATGTCTTTTATCCCTAATTTCTCAATGACTTACATAAAATTGAATGAATGGATTTTTAAAGTAGATTGTTTTATTATTGATAATTTCCATAGAGTATGTAATTATAATTTGGAAGAAACTTTAATTAATTTTTTTTAAGAAAATGTTTGTATATTTCTAGTTCCTACATTTTTGTATTATACTTAATTATTATTTTAAAAAGAGAACTGGCTTTTACAATTTCTGCCCTTTGAAATTTATAGTATTTTTTACAGCTCAATGTGAGATAAATATTTATGAACATTCTGTGAGTACTGGGGAGATTGTATATCCTCCACAGGGTAAAAGCTTAGGTATATTTTCTTTGCAAATATATCATATTTATCATTCAGTTCAGTTCAGTTCAGTCACTCAGTCACTCAGACTCTTTGCAACCCCATGGACTGAAGCACGCCAGGCTTTCCTCTCCATCACCAACTCCCAGAGTTTGCTCAAACTCATGTCCATCGAATCGGTGATGCCATCCAACAGTCTCATCCTCTGTCATCCCCTTCTTCTCCCACCTTCAGTCTTTACCAGCATCAGGGTCTTTTCCAATGAGTCATTTCTTCACATCAGATTGCCAAAGTGTACTTATCATTAATCTCTTTTAATTATACTGTTCAAATCTATTTTTACCTCAATTGTTTTGTTTTGTTTTTTTGACTGAAGATTCTTGATGCTTTCTTGGTCCATGTAGTTTCCCTTGTGTATCTAAATTGGTTTTACTTTATCATGTTTAGTATTTTTAACTCCTTTTGTCTAAATTGTAGATGTTGCCATGTCATCAATTTATATCATTTTAACCCTTGTGAACTAAATATCACTTTAATATAAATAGGGTGATTTTTACATTAAATTGTTTCCACTTAGTCTTAAAAATTTTTTGTACAGAGTATGAGCATGTGTAACTCTAGTAAGCAGTATACACCAGAATTTCCTTTTTAAAGAAATGTGAAGATGTTAGTCTATTCATAGGGAATTTTAACTTTAAATAATGAACACTTTGGTGTGTGGGATTTTATTCCTTCATGTCCACTTAGTTCTTGCTGACCATAACTGTCAGCATTATTATTATTGCTAAATGGGATAAGATTTCTTTATATCGTTGGAAATCTGATAATAGAGTGTTGCCATAGTCTTGAAGTTTCAAGTTATCCAGTATATATATTAATGAAAATAAACAGCAATGTATGACAAATATGAATGTGTTATATTGTGATTCACAAATTTAATTTAGAAAATCTTCTTCTCTCTTGTTTCTGAAACCCAGGTCTATTATCACAATACGATATATTCTGGTCTTCCGGAGAGTGCTACAGTATCAACATCTTGTAAGTCTTCTCTTGGCTATTTATTCTGTTTTCATGGTATATGTGTTCACGCTTCCAATGCTTTATTATTTTACATTCGTACTCACATTTAATTATTAAATTTTCAAATAATAAACTTCATATATTTCCATAAACATTATATTTTAAGTTGTGTGAGCAAATGTACATGCAGGTGAACATTATATTAAAATAAGGCCTTACCCTTGGGCAGGCTCGGGGCCGCCCTGTGTTATGGGGCCCCCTCTCCTGTCCGCACGTACCTGGCCACTCCACAATACTCAGTGAATGTGATAGTGGGATATTTTGTCCTGCTGGCATTTATCTGAAAACTTGAAAGAAAGGCTCCGCTATTGTCTTCAGCCACCTGTCTTCTGATGTAGGCATTTTTGAATGTACAGTAAGCTGAGGGGTGGTCTGGCATCTTCAGTCATCTTATCACCGTGGGGCCTGTGTGTGTTTGCTGTTTGTTTGTTTGTTTGTTTTTCAAACAGATGCTTTGTGTGTGTGCTCAGCCGATCAGTGTCTCTGGCTCTTGTGACCCCGTGGACTGTAGCCTGCCAGGTTTCTCTGTCCATGGGATTTCCCAGGCAAGAATACTGGAGTGGGTTGCCATTTCCTCCTCCAGGGGATCTTCCTACCCGGAGATCGAACCAGTCAACCTTACCTCCCGTGACCAAAAACTAGACTCAGCCAAGGCTGTTTATTTATCATAAGCAGGATTTTGGTAATTCTGGACATTGCTTTTCAATCACCTGAATGTATCCAACCCAAGGTTTCCTGAAAAAGAAAATAATATCTTAAATTCAGTTTAGGAAATTCAGTTCTTAAAAGTTGGTTGATTTCATAAAATAATTCATGAAGAATTTATCTACATAGACTCCTATTATGATTGTTTATGATGTTTCTTCCTGTTAGGAACTAGTACATTTGTTTTGTATTCTGTGTTAGAAACTGTTTGTGTACTGTGTTAGACATTGTTACCTTATCTTTTTTTGAATTTACTTTTTATTGTTGTATAGTTGAATGTTGATTACAATGTTGTGTTGATTACTGCTGTGCAGTGAAGCATCTCACATACTTCTAAAAACACTCTGCTTTTATGTTCTTTTCCATTATGGCTTGTCCAGGGTATTGAACATAGTTCCCATTGCTCTACAACATGACCTTGTAGTTTATCCATTATAATCTATTCTGCGTGTACACCAGTTTGCATCTGCTCATCCCAAACTCCCCCAAATATGGGACGCTTCGTGCATTCGTGTGTCGTCCTTATGCAGGAGTGGCACTAAAATTCTCTGCGTTGTTTTAGTCGGCAGAAGCCAGCACTGTTACCTGTTTTTTCCTGTCCCTCAACTGTATGCTTGGCAGAAGCAGGTGTTACTAAAAATCTATGCTGATTTACCCAACTAGGCTAGGATAAACAGTCCCTGAAAGCTTCCCCAGCGGCTCAGTGGTAAAGAATCTGCCTGCCAATGCAGGAGACATGGGTTTAATCCCTGGAGAAGCAAATGGCAACCCACTCTAGTATTTTTGCCTGGAAAATTCTATGGGCAGAGGAGCCTGGTGGGCTACAGTCCATGGGATGACAAAGAGTCAGACGTGACTGAATATGCAAGCAAAAATGCTTTAATCAAAATAGAGGTGTGTGTAGGAAGAATCAGTGAAATTAAATGTCACTGTACCAGTGAGGATAGCAGCTGGGTGTCACCGCTCCCCGCTGTTTGTCCTGCTCACCAGAACACCCAATTTTCACTATTTCTGTTTTCAGTTCCTACAGTTTCCTCCAAGTCTAAAAACAATTATCATCTGTTGCTCTTTCAAGAGTTGCTTATTGGTCTGAACCTGTGGAGGAAGAAGACCTAGCACTGTTTTAAGTTTTCTCTGCTTGTTAGTGTTGTAAATTAAGTTAAATTCAGACCTCCAAGTACAGTGTTACCAAGCATAGCTGGTTTTTATTTTTATTTTTTTAAGATTTTTTTGATGTAGACCATTTTTAAAGTCTTTACTGGGTTTGTTACAATATTGCTTCTATTTTATATTTTGGTTTTTTTTTGCTACAAGGCATGTGGGATCTTGATTCCCTGACCAGGGGTTGAACCTGTGGTCCCTGCATTGGAAGGCAAAGTCTTAACCACTGGACCACCAGGGAAGTCCCTACATAGCTGTTTCTGATGGCACCTCACCAGTACTCATATGCACGTGCACATTCACTAATGCTTTATTTTCCCAAGTCTTTCCAAAGAGAGAAGATATAAAAGCATCTTATTTTCCAAACTTGCTTGACTAAGTTCCGTAAAAAGTTTTAGTTCTTTCTGCTCAGATATTTTAAATGAAGGCTCCTGATGTGAAATGCCATACACATTCAGTCAGCTCTCTTGAACTTTATTTCCATGCACTTTTCTTTTCTAAGCTCTCGCAATACCAACAGCTTCATTGGGTTTTTCTGATTATGTAAACAGTTCCTAGTGGCAGCACCTACTCTTGGGGGTCATAGATTCCACTGGGCATTTCACACACCCATCTTTATGAGCCCAACTTGGCGCCACTTCACTCAGAGAAACACGGAGCAGGAAGCACAGTCAGAAGGGGGGTCTGGCCAAGGAATTCCTGGTAGTATTGCCCACCACACTCTGAGGGCCATGAACAATTCAACCCCCTGGACTCCACTGAGAAGAGTGAGGCCACGCGTGGTGGAGCGACCCAGCTTAGAAGCCCCACGTCCAGAAAGGAACTGCTACATCGTGTAACAGTTCCATGGGCACGGCTGCCAAAGGTGCAGACGGGTGAGCCCAGTGAGACGATGTGCGGTGGCTGCGTGCACTCAGGGAGGCCAAGGTCAGCCCTCCCCACCAGGACGGTGGCTCATCCACACCCGTCCTGGCCCAGACGCCACGCAGAACTCAGCGATTGTGTTGACGATCGCCGCGTCGCCAAGTAACACAGCTGCTAGTCCATCTTTATCAGATTTTACCATCAGTGGAGATATAGGGTTACCCCATCGTCCTTTTCTCTGTAAGGCAGAAAAAGTATTAACTCTTTCTAAACAGATTCTCCTAAGAGATAAATCATGTTGTCCCCTTTTAACAGTTAACATCTACTCGAGGGTGGGGTGGCTCTTGAGTTGTGAATTTCAGAAGCACAGCTACTCGAAATGTATTTTACTCAGTTTCTCTGGCATCACACTCCACCACCAGTATTTTGACAACATTTGGGCCCTTTTCTTCTGAAGCTCTCTAAGGGTACAGCCCAGATGCCACTGTAAAATTTCCCTTCATCGGCTGCCCATTTTAGAATTGCTGCATTTCAATGTCATGTATTTTTTAAATTTTACTGTTTTTTTAATCTTGTACTGTAAGAAGGAAATATGCGAATTTTGCATGCATTTAGATATCTTTATAATGGCACTTGATCAATATTTTGCCCTGGGATGGAATCTAAGCTTAAAAATCTAGACTTGGAAAGTATTTCTGGGGACATCCCTGGTGGTCCAGTGGTTAAGTCTTCACCTTCTTGCAGGGTGTTGCAGGTTCAGTCCTTCCATAAAATTCCGCATGCTGCATCGTGTGGCGAATAAACAAATAAATAAATGCAAGCTCTACAGCAGAATTTTTTAAATCATGTCTGTCTGTTGCACTGTGTCCTGTGTGACTCCCAGCTGCTTTATCTTTCCACCTGTCCCCTTGTTTTATTTTCTCCCGGGAATGTTTCGGCTCTCCTCTTTACTCTTGGTCATCTGTGGGTCTTTTGCGCTTATTTTCCTAGATGCTACTGGCCTCTGTGACCTGGAGACTAGTATCTGTGGAAATTTTCTGTGTTTCACCTTCTTTTTGCTGGCCTTTTGGCCTTCGTCTCAGTCACATTTTGGAGTCCAAAGTTGATGTATTACTTTGGCATCGATCTTGCGTGAGTGGGTTTCCTTGAGGGTTTGGTTCTCATTGGCAGTTTTACCCTAGTTATAGTGCCGCACGGGAGAAGGTGATCAGGAGCTCGGCCATTGTTAAGGGGCTGTGTGGGCCGCGGAGATTCCCTGTGTTGTTACTGGCTTATTTTCTCAGCATCATCCATCGTTTGGGCAGCCCTTGGCCTGGCTGAGTCACTCCGTGCTTCCGGCTGTAAAAGAAACGTCTCATGCTCAGGAAATCTTCCACAGACCATGTAGAAAATAGGTTTCTCTTATTTTTACCCCTCTCTACCTTTTTTCCCTTAAATCCAAGGAAAATAAATAATTATTGTATTGGCTTATTTACCTGTCTAGCCTTTGTTTCCCCCTAGAGATAAGGAAGTTTCCCTCCGAACTGGTGCCTTTTTATGCCGTGTTTTCTGTCCTATCCCCAGAGACCGTGATGGTTGTAGGGAGCACAGCATTTGCTCGGTCAGTGGTGGATGAGTGAGCGGTATTGATCAGTTAAGACAGTGGTGGATGCCATGACAGATAGATCCCCAAGTGGCTGTGGCATAACTGAGCAGACATTGCTTATTTTCTTAATCATTTTTAAAAATTGGAGCATAGTTGCTTCATGGTTGGTGGGTTAGTTTCTGCTGTACAGTGAAGTGACTTAGCCATATGCATGCGTGCATCTCCTTCCTCTTGGGCCCCCACCCCTCCTCCCACCCCTCTCGGTTGTCGCAGAGCACTGAGCTGAGCTGGGCTGGGCTGAGCTGGCCTGGGCAGGCTTCCCGGTCCACCCCCAGCTCCCGCGGACAGCGGCTTCCCGCTGGTCGTCTCCCTGTGACAGCGCTCGGCTCTCAGCTCATTCCCCGCTCTTTGGTGTCCGCCTGTCTGTCCTACATCTGCATCTCTACCCGTGCCCTGCAAAGAGATTCGTCTGTACCATTTTTCTAGATTCCACATACTGGCACTGATACGCATTATTTGTTTTCCTCTTTCTGACTTACTTCACTCTGTCTGATGGGCCCTAGGTCTGTTTCTACTCCACCTGGGGATGCTTATGTTCTTGTTGAGGGCAGAGTCCTGCTCCACACACTGATTCAAAGCTCCA